TCCCGGGGGAGAGGAGGCTGTAGAAGTTAGCACCTAGGCTTCCTTGGTTGAGGACAACAGATAGCGAATGAGCAGATGGAGCTATGTAAGGTCAGAGTTTCTGGAAGGACTCCCAGACAAGGTATGGGGCCAGAGAGCATTCTGAGTGATGGGAAGGAAGATGCACAGTGGCTCTTTCCTCTGAGCTTGCCCTGATTCTAGAAGCCCATGGACCAAAGACACACTGATAGATTTAACTTTGAACCTTTAGGTTGAGTTGATGCAGACCTTTTAATTCCTGCTTTAAAATAGGATGGGATGCCAAACCTGTATGAAGACCGTGTGTATGGCACACGAGACTTTCTCAAGGGCTCTCTCAGCCTGTTTTGATTTATATCATTATGTATGCACTGATGTAGCATAAGGAAAATTAAAAATGCCCTTAACAGGCTGACCTGAATGCTCCTATAGCTGGCTCCATATGTGTATTTTGGAGGCTTTTGAACATGACCGCTCTCTCTCTCTCTTTTTTTTTTTTACAAACTCTTCTGTATTTAATGTTAAGGCTCCAAGGATTTTACCTCATGCACTATAAATGCAATATAAACTAGGGAAATCAGCCAAAAACACACTCAGAAGATGCTATAAGATTCTAGTTTTCCTCTTTTAGACTTTTACTTCTCCATTTTTTGGTTGTAAGGGAGAATCATGCATCTATTAATCTTTTACCTAGAATCTTTAAAATGTGACAGATGTTGAGCTCTGTAAAATTTGGAGCTCGAGATCTCTTAAATGTCACCATGTAGACTGGTCCTGGGTAAATCATGTTACCTCCTTAAATTTGAGTTTTCCTTTTGGTGAAACGGGAGGCTGAACTTCCAGGACTCTTGTTCTATGATGATACAATTACTTCTCTTCATTGTGCCCAGGACTGTGCAAAATTTTTTGGAGGACAGGGGCTCCTGGGGCTCTGTCGGTTAAGCCTCTGACTCTTGATCTCAGCTCAGGTCTTGATCTCAGGGTTGTGAGTTCAATCCCCATGTTGGGCTCCTCACTGGGCATGAAGCCTACTTAAAAAAAATAAAAAATTTTATATATATATATATATATATATATATATATATATATATATATATATATATATATATATATTTGGCGGGGAGAACAGGCTTGAGGGCTGTATTTTTGCTTTTTGACACATACTCAGATCTCTTATTTTGGTTCTTCTCCTGAGGCCTCTGTGATACCGACTTCTCCCCATTCCCTGCTCCCCCTGGCCCAAGTCCTTTTCTAAGTTACTCGCCTCCTAGCTCCTTGGCTGCCTCTGTCCTAACTGGTCTCTCTGCTTCTACTCTTGTCCTGCCGACAGTCTGTTCTTTACCCAGCACCAGCACAATCTTTTGAAACAAAATCAGAACATGTCTGTCTCTTGCCTGAAAGCCCTCCCATGACTTCTCACTGCCCTTGGAAATACAAATCTGTTCCTGCCTTTGCACCTGCCTCCTCTGCTGGGAATGCTCTTTCCCTAAGATGTGGCACAAAGGGCTGCTTTTCAAGTGGGTTGCAGCTTAAATATCACTCCCTCAGAGAGGCCTTCCCTGAGCACTTCGTCTAAAACAGCCATCTCTTCTGCTTAATACCTAACACATTATGTGGATTTATTATTTATATAGGATATTCCACCTGCAATTATCCTGTATATCAATTTTTGTTGTTGTTATATCTCATCCCAGTAGCAAATATGCTTCATGGGATTAAGGACTTTGTTGCCTTGTTCATTGCATATCCTTAGGAGTTAAAGCAGATTCTGGAATATAATAGGTGCTCAAGGAGTGTCTGTAGAATGAATGAATGAATGAATGAATGAACATCATGGGTAGAAAAACTACATGCCAGAGAGGTTATGGTCACAAAGCTAATTAGAAGCAGGGTGAAAGAAGACATGAATAGACATACAAATGGCCAACAGACACATGAAAAAATTCTCAACATCCTCGGCATTAGGGAAATACAAATCAAAACCACAATGAGATGCCACCTCACACCAGTCAGAAGGGCTAAAATTAACAAGTCAGAAATCCATAGATACTGGCGAGGATGCAGAGAAAGGGGAACCCTCCTACACTGTTGGTGGGAATGAAGGCTGGTGCAGCCACTCTGGAAAACAGTATGGAGGTTCCTCAAAAAGTTGAAAATAGAGCTGCCCTACGACCCAGTAATTGCACTACTAGGTATTTAGTCAAAAGATACAAACATAGTGATTCAAAGGGGCACCTTCACCCCAATGTTTATAGCAGCAATGTCCAAATATCCAAAGTATGGAAAGAGCCCAGATGTCCATCAACAGAAGAATGGATAAAGAAGATGTGGTATATGTGTGTGTGTGTGTGTGTATAAAACAGAATATTACTCAGTCATCAAAAAGAATGAAATCTTATCATTTGCAACAACGTGGGTGGAACTAGAGGGTATAATGCTGAGCAAAATAAGTCAGTCAGAGGAAGACAATTATCATATGATTTCACTCATATGTGGAATTTAAGAAACAAAACAGGATCAGAGGGGAAGGGAAGGAAAAATAAAATAAGACAAAATCAGAGAGAGAGACAAACCATAAGAGACTCTTAACTATAGGAAACAAACTGAGGGTTTCTGGAAGGGAGGTGGGGGGGTGGGGTAACTGGGTGATGGACATTAAGGAGGGCATGTGATGGAATGAGCACTGAGTGTTATATACAACTGATGAACCACTAAACTCTACCTCTGAAACTAATAATACACTGTATGTTAACTAATTGATTTAAAAAAAAAAGAAGCAGGGCCAAGACTAGAACCCAGGCCCCTTCAGGTCTTTCCTTCGGGTCACGCTGTCACACAGGAAGCCTGACTTAGAGATGATTCTCTCATTCGCTATTTATTTATTCACCAACTATTTATTGAGCTCTTATTATGTTTCAGACACTATTCTACATCAGCGGTTCTCAAGCAGAAGTGATGTTGGTCCCCTGGGAACATTTTTCAATGTCTAGATACATCTTCAGCTCTAACAAGTGGGGTGGAGGGTGCTATTGGCATCTCGTCAGTGGAGGGCAGGGATGCTGTCCTAAATGTGTCCTATAATGCCCAGGACAGCCTCCCACAATAAAGAATTGTCCTGCCTGAAATGTCAACAGTGCTGAGGTTGGAAACCCCTATTGCAGATGAGCAGATACCTGCTCTCGTGGAGCTTATAGTTTAGAGTGGAGAGACAGATGACTGTGTGTATCATACATAAGGAAATTAAAGACCATGTCAAAAAGATGGTATGATGGAAAAGAAAGAAAAGTCAGAACACAGTAAGCAGGAGAGCTGGTGGGCATTGTGGGTGGTGATGGGGTGGGAAAGACTATAATTTTAGCCATTTGGGGAGGTGAAACAAGAAAGGGAGTTTTTTTTTTTTTTAAGATTTTACTTATTTATTTGAGAGACAGAGAGACAGAGATAGCAAGAGAGAGAATGAGCAGGGAGGAGGGGGAGAAGCAGGCTCCCCGCTGAGCAGGGAGCCCGACGTGGGGCTTGATCCCAGGACCCTAGGATTATGACCTCAGCCGAAGGCAGACACCTAACCTATTGAGCCACCCAGGCGCCCCAGGAAAGGAAGTTTTGCCTCGGGAGGCTGAGCTCCCTGACCTGCAAGGACCAGTCCTTTGGGTTCAGCCCACTCAACTTCACAGATCATCCTTACATTTAAAAAATATAAAACCCTCCTAACCAGGGAACATCTCAGCCTCCAAATGAAAATAGAGCAAACTGCCGTGGGCTAGAAATAATTATCATTTTCCACTTTTCAGGGGTGTTTAAATTCTTCTTTCTCAACACTTGCAGTACTCTATCATCACTCATGCAGGACAGTGTTAATTTGATGCAATTTGTATTGCTCATTGTCGACTTCTCGCTTTTCTCTCAGAGCAAGAGTAGTGTGATTTCAGCCTCTCCCAAGAGCATCGTGAGGTTTTCGGTTGTACAGAGGTTTCTGTCTGTCTAGGCTGGTTTCCTAAAATCAACAGAAACAATTATAGATTTCAATGTCTTGGGGAAGCTGTAGTAGTTGATGGTGGCAAAGCTCAGTCAATGAAATGGTTTTACTATATATATTTATATATATATACACACATATACGTGTATCTGTGTGTAGTATACGAAGATATACATTTAAGATCTCACTAAAAAAATCATACTAAAATTGTGGTTTTGGTAATTTGGTAAGCATGTACTTGTTTTTGTTCTCACTCTTGTTTCTTTACCACAGTTCTTTACCAAACATTGGCACCTAGTAGGTACTCACCAAATGCTTGTTGAATGAATAAAAAAACTGTAAAAATCAGTTTGGAATTACTGGGTTCCAAATCATTTTTCCACATTTGCATGAACTTTTTTATGTCAGCTGAAACACAATTTGGTAAACACAGTAGCATTTTTTTTTTTTAAGATTTATTTATTTATTTTAGAGAGAGAGAGAGTGTGTGAGTGGAGGGAGTGGCAGAGGGAGAGACTATCCAGGTGGACTCCTGCTGAGCGTGGAGCCCAATGCACTGCTCGATCCCATAACCCATGAGATCATGACCTGAACCAAAACCAAGAGTCAGACACTTAACAACTGACTGAGCCACCCAAGCACCCCCTACAGTAGCATATTCTTACAGTGCTATGTCTGTGACATATTCATTCATTTCTAAGTCTGTGTTTTGTTTTTTTTTAATTTTTAAAATTATTGCTAGGGATATGATTTGACTTACGGGGTTTCTGAATCTGCTAAGTATAAAATTCTTAGTAGTTAATAGCTTTTCCATATACCTTTAACCTAGGGAGGGATTATTAAGCAAGGGAATAGATTTCAATGAATGTTCTTAATTCAAATGTATTTAAATTGACAATGTTGAAGAGATTATGCCCAGGGCACCATTTTCTTTTGGGTGCCATTTTATTCTATAGAAGAACTATGTTGACTAGTACACTGGATGTGTGTCCATGTTTTTTTTCAGTGCTATTTCTTCACAATCGAGTTTGGCCTTTGCAAGCAAGAAGGGCAACTGCGGGCATATGGAGCAGGACTCCTTTCCTCCATTGGAGAATTAAAGGTATGAAGCTGTGAATGAAAATATCCTTCCCAGGCAAACTGGTTCAAGGTCATGGAAATATTGATTTGTTTGTCTGAGCAGTTCTACTCGAAGATACCCCATAAATATTTAATAGAGAAGATTTGGCACCTCAGATGTGGGTGCTGACCTAACTTTTTGCACTTCTGAAAATGGGTCATGCCTTTCTAGGTTCGTGGCGTGACTCAGATGGATGAGCAGCCATGTGCACAGATCAACAGGAATGACAAATATATGCTCAAATGTTGGGTAACATATGACTGGCCTAAATTTAGTGCTGAAAAGTGGGCAGCAAGTTAGCAGTGATCCTCCTGATTGAAATTTCCTTGTAAGGATGGCGTGGCTATTTTCATTTCTGTTATCCCCATGGCTCCCATGGACACCCTAGAATTTACTCCTCAAAGGGGAATTTGGGATTATTTTAGCTTCTTCAAAATTAATGTGTATTAAAACAATATACAATTTGGAAAAAAACCCTAAATAAACCTACGTTCAGAGAGGTAGCTAATATGTGTAGCGATGCCTAAAGAATGCTATTTTTTTTTTTTTGGTCTTAAAATACAGCAAATGGTCATTTATTCAGAAACGTTGGGGCCTGGATCATTTGCTAATTTAAGTATCCTGGTTACTTAAGAATTGCTATCTGTACTGCTGGAGGATAGCAAGTTTTGATGAATTTAGAATGCAGTGCGATGTATAATCTGGAAATGGTACTGATGATAATTTAATCTTTCTTTGATTACCCAGACTAAGATCAGGATTATTGACTACCCTAAGGTTGTTATTTGGAGTATTGATTATCCTTATATAATATAGTTGGGAAATAGATGATTATTGGAACTTTTTGGTTGTTTATATTCTTGAAAGGTACAGTGTAGGTAGTCTTATTGAGTATTCATTTTATGATTCCATTCATTCATTCATTAATTCCTCAAACATTTGATTGAGTACCTACTATGTGCCATGTACTGTGCCAGTCACTGGGGATATAAATGATGGAGAAGGAGAAGGAGGGGAAGGGGGAGGGGGAGGAGGACATAATGGCGACCTCAGTGGACACTTAAGCAGACCTCAATTAGTATTGTAGGTGCTTTAAACATATTAACTCACTTATTTCTCATAACTACCCAGTGAGATAAGCAGTATTTAGTAATAATATAATAATATCTCACAGATGAGAAAACTGAAGCATAAAGACATTAAGGAGCTTGCCCAAGGTCACACAGCTAGTAAGTGCTGGAGCTGGACCCAAGTCCAGGTGGCCTACCCTGCAGGGTTCCAGCCCTTAACCAGCAGGCTGTACTGCCTGGGGTCCCTGTTATCAGAGGGTTTACTTTCTAGTGCAAGGGATAAACAGCCAATCAGATAATGCAAAGTGTGACATGTGGGCCTGGCACCTGCTAGGTCGTGCTGGGGAAGGCTCCTGACAAGGGCCTTGCTGCCCGAGCTGATTCTTGAGGAGTGGAAAGGATGAGTGAGGAGAGGATGAGATGCACAGAACAGTGAGTGGACAGCAGCATGTGTGCTCTTGTCAAATCCTGGCCCGTTTAGGGAGCTACCTGAGGCTTCACGTGGCTGGAGTAGATGATAACATTTCGCATGACAAAAGCCTGATGTAATGTGGTAATTTTTTTTTTCTTTTTAACGAAGTTCTCCACAACAACAAAAGGCCACTTGGGGTTAATTTCAGTACAGTGGCCAAAGCCCACAGCAATAGCATGATGTCATATCTTTGTAAGACCCATGCCTTTTGTAGAGTGCTTCTTGATTTCCATGAAAAAAGAATTAGAAAATGATTTATCTCATGAGCTATATCTATTTACATTCTCCTCAGAAGGTTTGTAAATGACACCAGAAACAAAAGAAACAAATCTCTCTCATTGCCCCAACTTTCGACAGGGTCCTCTAATCGGGTTAATGGGGCATGTATAGGCAGCACTGGGGTGAATCTGTTGTTTTTGTTCCTATGAGTGTGGACAGAAACGTCTGAAAATGGAAATCAGCTAGGGCTGTGTTCACCAAAGGGCATTGTCGGCCGTGAATCTTGTTCTGGTCCATCACCTCTGGTCATTAGCATTCTTCCATTCTCAAATTTCTACACTCCAGCATCCCAAAGATTGCTACTTTGGACCATTTTTACCATTCAGAAATTCTTGCAATGAGAAGTATCTTCTGATTACTCACAGAGAATACATAACACAGGATGCTTTCCATACCCGCTTCCCTCCACTCATCTCCTCCCCGCTCTGGGCAAGTGTCCAGAACCCTCTCACAGCTTCTGAGTACTTCTGCCTAACTTCTGTTAGAATGGACACATGATAATCCTGAACACAGGATGAGGGGATAACTTAAAATTGGTAGCATTATAAAAATTCATATGTAAAACACGCTTACAATTTTGAAAGGAGTTACTTTTTGCAGTGAAACATCTCTTGTTTCAAACTGCAACCCAAATGTAGGTCCCAGCTAAGTCATTAGAGGTTTTGGTGTAGTCTTTATTACTTTTACCTAAATATCCATGATTCACCTTCTCTCCTTGAACAGAACACGTTTTAAAATTTGTGCTTTAAGGGGCTAAATTTTCCTGGGCATAGATGTTGTACTTCAGAGCTGGCCCAGTACCCCCAAGGGGTGTTTCTATAGTTTGGAGGATAACTTTCATTTTCCCTCTTACTCTTTCAATGATTACAATGCTTGTTTTTTGACAATCTTTGGAGAGAGAAACAAAATAAATATGGAAAAGCTTGTACAAGCTACATCTGATAGCCACAAAGACTTCTTTTAACCTCATCAATGGTTGCTCTCTCTCTTCTCTGTTCTGTGATGTACTTTCAGGAATTCCCAAAGTGTGTTTGGGTAGGGACTCTACCATACCTTCATCACTCTGGGGAGCAGTTGATAATGAGCTAACTCATCTGGAAGTCTGACTTTAAAAAAAAGGCTGAAAGTAGGATAATCAATTGCTGTTTACCCATAGTCAGCATGTGTCTTTTACATTTTTTCTATCTCAGAGTTGACCCTACTATATGTGTCTCATTTTTATTTATGAGACCCTACATTATGTGTCTCACTCATTTATTTATTCACTTTGTTCAACAAACCCACAACTAAAGGCCTAAGGTTTCAAGGAACTTGGAGTCTCTAGTAGGGAAGTTCTAAGAAAGTGGTTGATATGGGTATCTGTTGAATCCAAAACTCATGGACAAGTAACAGTGAAGTTTGTTCATGGTGGTGGTAAGGAAATGATTGCTAATTGATGAATTGGCTGAATCTTATCCCAAAAAGTTAATCCATCTTAAAAGCAAAAAGGCAATTTCTCCTTTTTTTATGGGCAGAGTCTAGTTCTTTATTTCCTTAAGGGCGTGGATTAGATTTTTTTTGGTAAACAGCCTTAGCACCTACCCCATAGTAGTCACTGAAATAGTACATATAAATCCATCCGTTCTGCTTTTCAGGTTTTGACAAAGCTGATGGTTTTACAATTTTTAATTATTATTATTTTTCAGCTCTAGTTTTAGGATCTCCTTGCACAGGGACTTAATCATACTGCTTTTTAAAATAGCTTAATCAGCATTCACCCAACAGACTTGTATTTATTACAATTATTCATGTTTACTGCCACTTGCAGCAACTCTGTCCAGTGGTCAGAATTCCTGCCAGGCTGTACAGAAGAGGCTGGAGGCACCTGCGGGTCCTGTCACCAGTGTGGCTAGAGTTAGGACTCACTGCTGCAGAGCTCCCCCACCTTTCCCCTGCACAGATGGCTCACACCTCCCTTCCCCCCCCCCCCACCTTTGCCTGAAACCAGCACTGTTAGTAAAGACAGAGCAAACTCTGGAGCATAGGGAGCTGGAAACAGGTCTTTGGCCTTTATGAAGAGATTGTTTGAAGAGGGAGTTTTTTCCCTTGCCCCTGCAACTTATTCAAATTGATAAAACTTGCAACATCACTGATTTAAAAAAAAAAAAGGTGCGATGCCATTATCAACCAACTGAGCAATAGGGATGTCAATGCCACTTTGTATTTGGTTAGCAGGAGGGACATTTGAGGGAAGTTCAAAAAATATTATCTACATACATGCATATGTACATATACAAATGTATATATTTGCAGTTCTGACAGGGGAAAAGATGATTGCAGTGTGAACGTAGGAGTGTTGCAAATTCTTATTCAGAATCTAGGGCCCAAACTACCTCTAAACCTGACTTGACACTTGAGTGTTTTCCCAACTTAAACCAGTCCTAATATAGAGGGTGAGGATCACAGGATTTACGTGGAGAATAGTTGAGATAGTAACTCTGTGTCTGCAAAGGCAGGTGGCTGGGAGGAAGGAAGATTTTAAATTGAACTTAGGGCAGGCACTGTTGCAGTCTAAAACCTGGAAGCCTTATAGCGAGGGCCATGTTTCTTTCTCTGTGGGTTCTGGACCCCGGGGGGGTGGGGAGGGGAAGAGCTGCGTCAGTGGTGACAGGTGTGGCTGAATGCCTGTGTCCACCAAACATCATCTCCAGACTGAATTGGCAATAATCACTTAGTATACTGGGCACTCCCCATGTGCCAGGCACTTTGTATGCATCACCTCGTTTAATTCTTTTCTTTTTTTTAAAGACTTATTTATTTGTTTTAGAGAGAGAGTGCAATTGGGCGGATGGGCAGAGGGAGACGGAGAGAGGGAAAAGCAGACTCCCTGTGGAGCACGGGGCTCCATGTGGGACTCGATCTCAACCCTGAGATCACGACCTGAGCTGAAATCAAGAGTTGGCCACTCAACTGACTGAGCCACTCAGGTGCCCCTCGTTTAATTCTTACCACAACCCTGGGTTATAGATACTATTAGTATTCCCGTTTTCCAGATGAATACTAGAATAGGCTTACAGAGGTGGAATAACTTGCCCCAAGTCATGTAGAAACTTCAGATAACAATTGGGTTCTGGGCAACTTGATGTTGAAAAAAGATTTTTGTATTTAAAAGGCTAGAATGGCAAATAAGCCTTAATTTGTGCACTGAAGCCAATTAATTGCTAATGGCCACCTCTGTTGGGAAGGTGGGGGAAAGGCCATGCTGAGGCCAGTGGGAAAGCCTGCCATGGCCAATTTGTACCACTGGGGGCAGAGGGAGGGGATGCCAAGCAGTGCAGTGTATATGTGGGCCCTTTTCAAACAATACGGCAAGGAGAGCTTTAGAATTCATGCAGATCAATCTTTTCAGTTTATTAAAGAGGAAACTCTGTCCCAGCATGGGGAAGTTTCACTCCTTTGATATCATGCCTCTGGGACAACTATGTTTAGGACCCAGGTATCACAGCTCCCAGTCCTGCGTACTTCGTCTTTAGCACTCTGGGTAAATCCAAAATAGTCCTTTTAGAAAGTCTTCAGATGAGGGCAGGTGATTCTCAAGCATTCCTGAAATTTTAAAATGGCTTAAGACTAAAAGACTGTCAGCCACATTCTCTTAGCCTTATAAAGCCTCTGTCTGCCGAAGTTGGATGAATTCTTGCAGACTTCAGGATGTCAGACTGTTAACACTTTGGGAAGTAGTCACCACAGAGTTCCCTGGGGACATCAAGCAGTGTGGCTCGCTGTTTGCAGAGAATCCACTGTGGACGTAGAGGGAAGGGCATGGAAGCTGCTCCCTCAAGCCGAGGCAGCTGAGAGAGAGATGTGGACAAGAGTTGAGAACAGACTCAATAGGGCTTCACCCCCTGGGGCATCAGTGGAGACATGGATGCTATTTCATAGCCTTGGGGCCACACGTTAGTATTCAGGGAACCTCATAGCTGCATGCATGTTCCCGGCAGGCATCCCACAGAAAAACTCCCTGTCAGGTAAATGAGACCACTTACAGGTGTGAGCACCACCTCATTTGTCGGCCTCACTCACCAGTTGCCCCCCGAACTCCAGACTCTTGTCATTCTCCAGGCTAATACTGGGGTACCACTATGATTGCCTTTTGTAATAGCCAAGGAGCAGCCCTGATCCCATACCCCGTGGAGGGAGAGGTCCCCAGTAGGTCATTAGCATGTTGGACACAGCAGGCTCTTGAGGATAGACTGCCTTGTTGAGAGCTTGCAACAAGCAGCTCCCAGTTTTTCCTTGGAATATTACATTAGGCAAGTGTGAAATGCATTGCCTGATGGTCTTTGCCTCAAGTTTTATGCTGTGAATCCACCGACTGTCCTTGAAATCTGGGGCAGAGCACTCTGCCCTCTGGGCTCTTTCTTGGTCCACTCTCCTCCCCTTTACTAGTTAAAATGACGACCTGGGCTCACCTGAGTATCCAGTGGGATGTCACGTGACAATTCTTTCTACAGCTACACCGATTTCCGTTCTCTGTTACTGTCTACACACACTCGGGAGGCCTCTGTTACACATGGTGGCCGCCAGCACTGCTCATGGCCCATCCAAACATTTCAGACCCAAGCAGATGACTTTCACCTCCTTCCTGTGCTTGTATCGACTCTGTGCAAAGTCTGGCTCAGCAGTGATCCCCTGCCTGAGGGAGCAGCAGTCTAAATGTTCTCACAGGCTGTCCAGCTGCCCCTGATTGCGAGGCTGAGAAAATAGAAAGATCAAGGACACGGAGTCAGTCACTGCCTTTCCTTTCATATGTGCTGGTTGGGGAGCGCACCCCTAGAATAACGTACCGAAGTCAAGCACGCCCCGAGTACGTGGCCGTGAAGAAAGCCGCTTCTAATTCTGAAAACCACAGCAAGTCAGTAGGAGGCCTGTTCTTCGCAGAGGAGCCCCAGCTCTCCGAAAAGGACATTTGTTTCTCGAAACTGTGAAGTTGTTTTTAAAATGTGGACAGAAGTATTAGTCATGTGGAATCAAAATCCCCCGATGTTTACTGCACTGGATTGAATCTAGCACAAATGCATTTGCAGGTGTAGTGACCTTCTGCTTCTAATGAAGTTGTTCTGTGGGCCAAAAAGAATTAGTTCAGTCCCTGAAGCCCTCTGGGTTCCCTGATTCATACATGCATCGATGGGGACAGCACAACTTGGCGGGAAAGCAAATCACATGCTGGGTAGGGCCGCGTGCCCTTTCTCAAACATGTTAGTCCTTGGGTTTGCAGTTGTATTTTCAAGCTTAGGGAACCACACCCTTATTCACGGAAGGCTGCAAATCATCCCATGCATTTTGAAATTGTTGGGGAATATACCAAGAATTGGAACAGGAAAGGCTTGTAGCATTTCTCCTGGTAACCTTAGCAATCTACCTCTTACACTGAAAGGTAGAAAAGTGCTTTGGGTGGAACCCAGAGGCTGGAATGCAGTGTCTTCAGAAATCATCCAGCCCAATCCTTTCATTTACAGTTAAGGAAACAGAGGCACAGAGAGGTGAAACACCATGGCTGGGTGACCCAGTGTGACAGCAGAAATGTCTGGAGTGGAGCCCCTTTTCTCTCAGTTCAAGGCAGTTCCTGCTGCCCCTTCTCTCAGTCCGCCCCTCTCCCCCCTTTAAGGAAAACACAGAATCTAGAGGAGTATTTCTCAAAATAGACTCACAACCACTCGCGTCACCGTGGATGCCTCTAACGTGCAGATTTCTGGGATTCACCCAGACCCGCTAAATAAAATTGAGGCCCAGGTATTTGCATTTTTTTCACAAGCTCTTCAGTCATTCTTATGCACATGAGGCTTGAGAACCATTAGAGCCTATAAATAGGCAGGTGGTATGTGGCGGGGAGTGACCACTCACCTTTGGCATCACTGAATTTATCTTGAGAAGACAATCATTCACGGTTCCTTGCTGCTTTCAGTGCCAGTCATGTAGTGAGTTGAATGGAGCTAATGATGGTTCAAAGGGTAATTACACCGGCCTCCCTGTTTTCCTAACGCCTGCTCTGCGCATAACTGTAACTATTAATATTAGTTCTTTTTGCCCACCTGACAATATTTATTTGCGGTATTTTGCTCTCCTATACTTACTGAAAGGGAAATGAATGCTTTGCCAGTATCCTTAAATATACAAGCCCACTCCAGACTCTGTTGATACACAGTACCTGGCCTCAAAATGTCTCGTGATGAGGCCACAAATAGTTCAGTCAGAGCCCCAATTACCTTTCCACGCAGGTGATTATTACTTCTGCCATTTAAGTGAAATTTCAGTACATTGCTTATGGCAATAAATTGAGGGCCATATTTATGCTCCCTCCTTGCTTCTATTCATAGCATAGATTTAAAATTCCATTTCTTTTGGGATATAGCTCTGAACTGTCCTTCCGTATGAATTTGTCTGATGATAAATAAAATAATACCATAATCTCATTTTTCCCCCCTCAGCTTCTAACAGACTTGAACAAAAGTAAACAAAACCCCAAACACTCAATTTACCCTGCATATGGGAGAGTACCATATTTCGTGGCAGACTAGTAACTGAGCAGTTCTATAAAAATACTGAGCTGTGCTGTAGAAACGTGACATCATGGCACTTTGGAAGTCTCATTGTGGAGTTTAACGGGTTTTGTGGTATGTTTTGCAGCATGCTCTTTCTGACAAGGCATGTGTGAAAGCCTTTGACCCAAAGACAACTTGCTTACAGGAATGCCTTATCACCACTTTCCAGGAAGCCTACTTTGTTTCAGAAAGTTTTGAAGAAGCCAAAGAAAAGATGAGGTAGACTTGTTTTTCTTCCATCTCCAGAAAAAATTTTTTATTTTTTCTGGCTGTTCCTTCCGTCTCTCTGTATTTCCTCTACCAATGAGAGTTGATCGCATATCCTTCTATCTCCGTTTCTTTTGCAGGGACTTTGCAAAATCAATTACGCGTCCTTTCTCTGTGTACTTCAATCCCTACACACAGAGTATTGAAATTCTGAAAGACACCCGAAGTATTGAAAACGTGGTGCAGGACCTTCGCAGTGATTTGAACACAGTGTGTGATGCCTTGAACAAAATGAACCAGTATCTGGGGATTTGATGCCTGGGACCAGTGTCATTGCCAACATGATCTTTTTGGGGCTTCGTAGTAATTCAGTCAACGTCATATAACACTGATAACTTTCTGTGTCATGGCTTGGCTAGTAAGCATGCAATTCTGTATATCTCTATCTACATGTAATCTGCTGTGTTAATGTGTGAAACACCGTAAGGAACCCAATGACAGATAACCGCTCATTGTTTGAAATATTGTAACCTGTTTAAACGTCTTCAATAGATTTGACATTCCTACTTGGTGTCCTTAATCAAACTGCAGCTCTTTAAAATTTGTAACAAATAGCCCTCTTATGATTCTAGCTTATTACTTTTTCCTTCTCAGATCTGAGCATTTCCTCTGTGTTCATTAGATAAAATGAAAATAGCAGTGAAACTGTTTTTATAGTCTCAGTGTTTCCACAGCATTATTTGAGATAAACCCAGAATTGTGTGAAACTCCCTTCATGTTAACAAAGGATTCAGTATTCTGTTCCAAAAAGGAAAACTAGTTGAACACACTAGTTGGAATGGGTTTTAGATTGAGTATTTATACAATGTAAGAGAAGAGAATATCTTACAAATGGAACAGATAGGTGGCATTGACTGTGTAGAAACTGAGGGGTGGCATGCTTTCCAAAGAATTTTGGAAGAAAATACTTCCAGAGGGGGGGCATTAGGAAAGACTAAACGGTAGGCAAAAAAATCTTGGGACTATGAATTTTATGCTGGAATAAAGTGAATTATCATGCTCAGGTGTTTAGCCCATTTCTCTTAGAGAACAATAATAACGTAGAGCTTTGATTTCAGAGATGTGGAAATTGAGTCTCGGAGAGGTTAGGTGATAGGCACAGTCAGTGTGCACTAACATGTATAGCCCGTTGCATCCCACTTTCAGATCACTAAGGAGTTCAGCGTGGTGGATTTGTGTGTAGTCAGAGATGGGAAACTAATACTTATCAAAACTAATGTTTATCACTAAGTAGGATTTGGTTTGTGATCAAGGGCTGCCAATGGTACAGCCCCAATCCAAGCCAGATCTCTGAGGGTGTGTCCACTTTGCCCAAAGTTTGGGCAAATTTGGGCAAACAGTAGTGATACACCACAAATCTCTGGTCATCTTTGCCGTAAGAGGTATCATCAGGTGATTAAGTGAACAAATAAAAAACTGCTGAAGGAGTGAATAAATTTCTTCTTCTGATTCTCTCAACAAACACAACCACTGTTCCTCTCACTCTCTGTTCGTCATACAGAATGCTGGGTGGAGGGGCTGGGAAAAAGTAGAGAAGAAAAAGATGACCAAATGATTTTTAAGTTAACAGTTCTAAAATAATGACACAATTTCTAAGATGTTCATTTAATAACAAATTGCATATAATTTCAAACTAATTGATACTCACATGGGCCCATTATGAGTCAGAAATTTTTGGACTAGCTATATGCAGGAAGAACATGAAAAGAGTGAAAATATGCAGTAGAGAGAGGTAAAATGAAAATAAATCAGAGGTTTGAATGGTGCTTCCTTAACTAATGAGGATCTTTCATTTCTGAAGGATTCTCAGAACAACTGAGTTTTGGAAAGGGATTTGGTAGACAGAATGTGAGAGTCATGCAACTTAAATGCTATTTTAGATGAAAGAGATAGTGCCTTGAAAAATTCTTGGTGGTAGAGAAGTGATGAGTTAGCTGAACCAAAAGGATCTAGAATGATCCAGCAGTTGTATATTTCAATAATTTTATAGATCCCCAAATAGTTTCTTATATCTTGTTTTGCTAGATCTAGATGACCCTGAGTAATTATTTACTTTTAAATACTAATCTAGAACAATAACCCAGAACAATAAATCCAGAAATTTCCAGAACTAGTTCCTGAATTTTCTCAAAGAAGAAAATTGGCTAAGCAATGTCTGCCTTCTGTGTTGTTTTTGTAATTTGGTGTTGCTATACCCGCCCTTAAAGAAAACCCCTAAGGAGCCATCGGGTTTTTCCCTTCTAGCCCCATGAAAGGGGAGGTTTTCAGTTAAGTGGACTGAAAGAAGAATTATATTTAATTGTGAACAAATTCCCCCAACAAAAATAACATTTGAGCTATCTTCTGATTTGGCTTACAGGGGCATCTTCAGGTTTTTTTTTTTTTTTTAATATGTGCAAAATCTATGTTGTTTCAAAAATAGAAGAGTTGCAAAGTAAACAGGCTTTCCCACAGAGTTTATATAGGTATCATACACCGTGGAGGAATTACTTGATTCTTTTTAGATTTGATCTCCATTTGGAATAGCAGTAACGATGGTTTTCACCATGTGAAACAATGGAATCATGGTTTTCATTTGTTGTGAGCATTTAAAACGGAAATGCCATTACAACTAATGGTGGGAAAAAAATCCTATAAAATTTAATAGCCATCATAGGAAAAGTGTTGGCAGAAAAAGTCCCCAAATGGAAATAGTACAAGATAATCACAGCTAGCTTCTCATCATATTTGATACCTGTTCTGTGTAACCATTATGACTCATGACTTAAAGCCAAATTAAATAGAATCAAGGACAATTATAAATTTGAAGACACTTGCTCACTGTTGTCTCATTGTGAATTGCTACTTTATTTTGACTTTGCTAACTTCTATAACCAGCTAATCAGAAATCAATAAGAGATTCCTAGTAAGACCAGGTTTTTATGCATCACAAATTAGCAAAAGACAGCCAGAATCTGATTAGTCCAGTTTTTTTTTTTTTTAAGCATTTTTATCTGTTACGAATTAGGGTCAGGCATCCAATATATTCTTGGATGATCAGTTTATTTTGTATAATGAGAGCTCAATGGATTATTCATAAATTCCATCTTTTTTTTTTTAGACTTTATTTATTTAAGAGTGAGAAAGAGAAAAAGAGAGAGAGAGAGCATGGGCAGGGGGAGGGGCAGACTCTGCTGAGCAGGGAGCCTGAAGTGGGACTCGATCCCAGGACCCTGGGATCATGACCTGAGCTGAAGGCAGACACTTAACCAACTAAGCCACCCAGGCGCCCCATAAATTACATGTTTTAAAGTAGGGAACTTTGACCCAAGGTTGTTAATTTTTTTTTTTTTTTACATTGGTGGGAAGGGTTGTGGAACTTGGGTTTCTGGCTTAGTCTCATTTATTTACTGTGTAATTTAGAAATGATGCTTTATGGGGATGATATATCTGTGTTTGTCTTGCTTGTACATAGTAAATGGGCCTGTGCCTAATGAATGTAAAGTATTGCGACATTTACCAACATGAAAAGTCTAAAATGAAAAAACAGTGTGCTTTAATGTGGAAGCAAATAGAAATACAACGTTTCATTTTCAAATGGAGTCATGGCTCACAACATCTCATTTTCTTCATTCGAGAAAGAAAGCACTAACACACGATGTAGTTGTCCTCCAATTCATTTGATCTAATTTTCAACTTCTAAAGAATCAAGCACTGATGCTTACTCTCATGAACCTTGTCTTACTTATAATGAAAAAGAAAACAGCCTGGAGTTCTCTAGTGTGTCTGAGTTTTTTGGTTTTTTTTTTTTCTTTTTTTTCTTCTTCTTCAATTTCCAAAGGCATTCTTTTATTTTGGGAAATGATTCTTATGCAGATTGCCATATTCTGGGAAGAGGCAAGAGAATTAATAGTGAGATACTGCTTTTTCTAATATTAGATTTGCATGTGTTCAAAAGAAACCAGTTCTGGAACATGAAATGGTGATTCTTTATAATATGACTTGGGGTCTCAAAACATTTATTCAGGGGCTTAGACCATATCAGGGACTGTATGAGACACTTTTCTAGACACTGAGGATATAGAGCTAAATAAGGCCAAGAAGCTATGCCCACTTTGAACTTACATTCTGGTGGACAGATACAGGCAAAAAAAAAAAAAAAAAAGCAAAAAACCCCACAACAGATTATTTGAGACCACGGCAAATTTTATGAAGAAAAAAATTGGAGGGATAAGGAGCAATGGGCTGGGGGAAGGACTAAGGTGGCCAGGGAAAGCTTTTCTGAGCAGATGGCATTTGACTAAGAACCATGGGATGAGAAGAAGCCAGGCATGAAGAGACCCATGGAAAGACTGTTTCTGGAAGAGGGGACAGTAAGATCAAAGCCAGTGGAAGGCTTTAAGAGGGCAGCCTGGGAGGCAAGGATGAGATAATACAGGGTTCTAGAGGGGGGTCAGGTATATTTATTTATTTTAGAGAGAGAAAGAGAACAAGTGGGAGGGGCAGAGGCAGAGGGAGAGGGAGAGAGTCCTAAGCAGACTCCCCGCTGAGTGCAGAGCCCAACACGGAGCCCAACACGGAGCTTGATCTCATGACCCTGAGGTCACGACCTGAGGCAGACACCAGGAGTGGGCTGCTTAAAAGACTGCCACCCAGGTACCCCGAGGGGGTCAGGTATGTTCTAAATGGGGTGGAAAGTCACTGGAGAGCCCTAGCAAGACAGTGACAAGATCTGATTTACATTTTTAAGAGGTTACCCAGGCTGCGGCGTGGAAATGAATTGAGGGGGGGATGCCTGGGTGGCTCAGTCGTTAAATGGCTGCCTTCGGCTCAGGTCATGATCCCAGGGCCCTGGGATCGAGTCCCACATCAGGCTCCCTACTTAGCGGGGAGTCTGCTTCTCCCTCTCCCATTCCCCCTGCTTGTGCACTCTCTCTCTCTCTCTGACAAATAAATAATAAAAAAAAAGAAATAAAGAAAAAGAAATGAATTGAAGGGGGATGGGAGGGTGGGGCCAAACCAATTAGGAGGCCATTGCAATACAGTATCTTGCTGGATCATGGTGGACATTATTAAAACTAGTTGTAATTAAGTAAGTTACTAAGTTGAGTGGGTGAATTAGAACTGTCAGATGAAAAACGAGGAACTGGAATAACTGGTACCTGGGTTATCATCTGACCAGAGAAGCAGGTATCCAATGATATCCTGTGTCTTTTGCAAATACTTAAAGCCTCCTTTGACAAAGCAACATCATGTTAAAATTTCTCTGGCCAGCTTTTAAGGCTAAAAAGCCAGCGATTTTTTTTTTCCTTGTGACTCACAAATATTAGCTGCATAGGCAAAAATGAAGTAGAAAATGAGGCATTATTGGTGACCATTGGTGGTGCTGACGTTTAGGGTAATTCAGGACAAAAAAGCTCCCACACCTCCAGGCACGCTGAATAGTTGTGTTCACCGTGCCATCCAGCCATTTCTGTGGGAATGGACCCTGTAAGCGTAAGTGAATCAGTTGTCTATTTCCATTCTTCTTGCTGCCTTCCATCTCCCCAGATGCATATTTCAGATACCCCAGAAAGGTTCACTTACTGTGATTTCTTCCTCTCCCCAAGAAGATGGGTCTGGTGCAGCAGCTGGGTGTGTAGTTCTTTCTCGGGGAAGATCACAGTGAGCCGGATGTTCAACCCGAGGGCATCTGTGGTTATGGTGACGGCAGACAGCATTCTCATAATCCAGTCTGGGTACACTTGTTATAATTGAACAACGAAAACATCTGACAGATGTGGGTAGGGTGATTTGAAAGCTCGTGGCACAAAGAAATCAAGTTCATTTTCTGTCAAAATAAAATCTTTAAAAAAGATGCAAACCTAGCCCCCATTTTTAGGTTGAGAAAGATACTATTCATTATAGGAAGGTGGTGGGAATTTCCTGGTGCCTCCTTCACTCCTTCCAGATCCCTTGCAGTCTCTTTACTTTTTAGCTTGTTAATTTTCATGGAACTAGCAAGATGCTGATTCAGTAGGTCTATTATTCCCAAAGGGTTGAAAACCACTGAACACATCTAATGTACAGCTTGCCCAATTTTAGTGAACAGCTAACTTCACAGGCATTAATGAGGCCAGTTATTGGCAAGTGAATTTGAAGTGAAGAACACAGGTTTGCCACTATAGCAGTTATTTGTTATTGGGATTGATTAAGGCAAACTTCCTTTTGATCATTACAGCTGATTGGTCATGGCACATGGCATTATGAAAGAATGAGGTCCCCAAATCAGATAGGTACTTGGAAGAAAAATCTCTACCTTGCAAGGGCAGAACATGCTCCCCTATCCATTTCAATGTGAAAGCCTAGCCATTAAATTGGAATGGATCCTAATTAGCCTCCTCACAAATCTCTAAAACTTTTTGGTCTTTCCTGTTAAGCAGAATTTAAAAGAAGCCGAAACTCCTCCCTTTCCCACGTACAGTCAATATCAAAGAAAATAACTTGCAGGGTCATACTTACTGCTGAAAACCAGTGCAGACATAGAAATCCTGATTTGAAGTGGCATTGGAAAGTATAATTTGATTCACCCAGCCAAATGATTACTGCAAGTATAGGTCATCAGCACAGCCCACTCCAGCACGTTTGATTGGTGATCAGCTGACCCCAGGGATGGGCCATGCCCTGAGATGGGCCAATTAAAGTCAAATCCTGGCCTTTTCTGGAACCATTGGGAAAGAGGCGTGCTGCTTGCTTTCTTCTGTGACTGGAAGGTGGTAGTTTGTGAGTCTGGAATTTCTAGGAGCCACCACGCCGGGAATGTAGCACCAAGAACAAGAGATAGAGACAATGTCTTAATGGCATCGTCAAGCTCATGGATTTAGCTGCACCTGAAGCTAGATGTATCTTTGGACGTTCCAGGTCTGTGAGCTAATAAATGGCCTCTCCTCCCTTGCTCTCATTTTTCTGCTGCCGCCTCTGACGCCAAAAAAACACTGAGGCCCAGGATAAAAGCACAAAAGGAGAGGCAGGAGATTTTAGACTTGCTTTTTTTCACAGTTTTCCTCTTGGTTTTGGAAATCACAACTTCCTGAAGAAGAATTATTTATATCCTTCTGGTTTAGTGTGTACCATAGAAGTCTGGGATGTCTGACCTGTTTATCCTCCTCTAACGCTGAGAACGGTATGACTTCTTCCAGTAAGATGTGGCCGGCAAAATTGCTCAAGGGAAGTGTTTAATTGGGTTCTAGGTGACTATTTGAGATTCAGTCTGTAGGCCACTGATTTGTTCCATGGAAAAAGAATATCAAGGCTAATTAAACTTAAGATACTTGGATAAGACTTTTTTTGTACCAGTTTTTGTTTTTGTTTTTTTTGTCGTTGTTGTTTTTGTTTTTATTGTAACTGTTAGGAGGATCTGGTTTGCAGTAGAATTGAGCCGCTCTAAATAAAATTCTCAGAGTATAGTAAGAGAACATGGGCTCTGGAATCAGGTAAATGGAAGTACACAGTCTGATTTTTCTGCCTATTCACTGGGTGACCTCTACGGACATACTGACACTTTCTGAGCTTCAGCTTTGTTTTCTGTAAATCGGAATGAGAATATGTTGTTTACAGAATTATCATGAAAATTAATTTTGTATATATGTCTAACCATAAAAATTACTTCACAAAGGTTAATTTCCTTTCCTTCTTGTTTTAAAATCTATCAACACTTAAACATCTCCAGCTTTTCCCACACTTTTAGATGATGAAATCATTGTACCTTAATGGCCCAAAGAAGTACTATACCAGTGTTTCAGGTCATTGCTTTCATTTTATTATTATTATTATTATTATTATTAAAGGTTTTATTTATTTATTTGACAGAGAGAGACACAGCGAGAGAGGGAACACAAGCAGGGGGAGTGGGAGAGAGAGAGAAGCAGGCCTCCCGCGGAGCAGGGAGCCCGATGCGGGGCTCGATCCCAGGACCCTGGGATCATGACTTGAGCCGAAGGCAGAAGTGTAACGACTGAGCCACCCAGGTGCCCTGGGTCATTGTTTTTATTTCTGTGACTTTTCATACTTTCATTTGACCAGATTTTAATAGAACTGACTGAATCTCATTCAGACGTGAATCTTAGGCTTGTGATCATTTGCATGATGGCCTTAAATCACTACCTGGAAATTCAAAAGCAATGAATACTCACCGATTCAGTGACCTCAGAGATGTTTTGCATTTCTCTCTGGACATCAAAATTTATATCTATGAAATGGGGATAAAAAGATAAAAACCCGTTTAAATTAATGAGACAATATAAAAGGCTGGAACTTTGTGGAAGAAACACACTGAGCAGATCGAGCTATTATTCATAGTTCATTGAGTCATGGCAAGTTGGCTCCTGGTCAGCCTACAACTCTATCTCAGAAAAACTGAACCAGAGGGCAGAATGGTTGGTGGGCGCATGTTCTAGTCACCAGTCCATCTACTAAAAGGCAGGCCCAACCAACCTCTTCTCTGTCAGAGGTACCGCATTCCCAAGGCTTCATTTCAGAGAGCAATTGCTTAGGGCTGTCTCTAATGAACATGAAGTCCTGGTCAGAGGGAACAAATT